TGATCTCATGTAGTTTATTGTGGACTTTGCATTCCATACATTTTGCCATCTTTCTGCTAGTCGTTTTTTTAACAACTAGCTTCAAGTCAGCACCTCTAATAAACACTGGATGCTGAGACAGACTTGCTGACTTTGCAGCTGTGTCAGCTTCTTCATTTCCTCTTATACCTACATGGCCTGGGACCCAACAAAAATGTTATAGAGAGATTCCTTGCAAGAAGATGACAAATCAGATTATGGATTTTAATCACTATAGAGTGAGAACTAGAATCAGATGAGATCAAAGCCTGAAGTTCATTAACTGAGTCTGTGTAAATCACGCAGCAACGATAACCTTTCCTATTTATATACTTTAGGGCTAAATAAATAGCCTGCAACTCTGCAGTAAACATGGATGAATTCGGTGCTATTTGTTCTGCCACGATTTCATCCTGGCAAACAAAGGCTAAGCCAACATAGTTATCCGATTTAGACCCATCGGTGTATATAGGAATTAAATTCCTGTCACAATGTTGAATTTCTGCGAAGTACTGTTTATTGACGTAATCTGGTGTTTTTCTTTGGGGAACTGCTTTAAGCTTAAGTCAACATTTATCGCTGGGGTTGACCAAGGTTAAATGCTATTAACCTCAATCTGTGAGATGTTGCTTGTGTCCAGGTCAATCGTGCTGCTTACATTCTCTATTCTTATGTCGAATTAGGGACACTACTCCTTCGAGCTGCAAATAATCTTTTCAGCTGAGTATCTGAACAATCAGCTGAAAGTTTATTCTGAGATTTCTGTTTAATGTAATAAAAAAGAGACAACTGTTCTCTCCTAAGAGATAGTGGAGGTTCAAAAGCATCAACATACAAACTTTAAACAGGAGAAGTTCGAAAAGCACCAGTTCACAAACGCAATGCTTGATGGTGGATTGGATCCAGCATCCGAAGAGTAGATTCTCGCTCAGAACCATACACAACGCATCCGTAATCCAGCTTGGAGCGGACAAGGGCCCTATAAATCCTGAGCATAGAACGTTTGTCTGCTCCCAAGGATGAGCAGCACAGTACTTTTAAAAGGTTCAGATTAGTGATGTAACGAATATTCGGTTACTAGTCGGTATTCGGCCGAATACCGAACATTTAATCACTATTCGGCCGAATAACGAATACCTGAAAACAGGAGTAAGAAATAACAAAAACTCAGTAAATTAATCATTTTGGTATTTAGATTTAATGTTATCGGGTTAGTGTTGTTTGTTTATATTTATTTATAACTTATAACATGCACAAAATAAAAAAGAACATAACATTAGTCACTTGTATTCACAATTTATAGTTACAAAGATCAGAAGACGTACAGTACACACCTATTCATTCGAGAATCGTCGTACATCTGAGGGTCTAACCCTGCCTATCCTTTTTAAGCGCTCGTCTTTGCTCTTTCCTCTATCGCTCTAGTCCACGTATGCCTATGCATACATCATAATACGCCCTCACGATACTTTCGATTCGTCACTTTTCCGTTGTAGATTTCCCATTTTACAATTACGTGACTCATAGCCTGGTGATAACGGAGAAAAGAGACAGATAGAACGCGGTAAAAGTCACAGTTATGATTTCACAGATTCGAAACACTTTGGTAGCCCGAACGACCCCAGGCTTTCGCCCGTGCAAGCTAAGTGACTTTCATTACAAGCATTTAGCTTTCCGAAGTCTATGACAATTATTTGGCATTGACGGCCGCGAATTTCGCGCCAATAAGCTGCCTCGAACAAGTCGAGGCAGCTTATTGAGTAGATAACATAATCGAACAAGTCGATTGTGTTATCAACTCAATTTCATATTTATTTTCACATTTTCACTTTGCGGTCCTTCTCTGTTCTTCTTCCGTTATTTACACGTGTAGGTCATTTCATTGTTATCCACATTTGATATCATCACTTATCACATACTGCCATGACGCTCTTGTCTGTCCGCTACAACTGTCAAGAATTAACGCGATTGGCAAGGCGTAGTGACAGTGGGCCAATAGAGAGCAGGGTCCTTGCCATAATGCAGTTTGCCCGCCAATTTTCGTACGTGCGTTAATCAAGCCGAATAGTTTGACCGAATATTCGGCTATTCGGCCACGCTCCTGGCTGAATATTCGGTATTCGGCCTCAGGCCGAATATACTATTCGTTGCAACACTAGTTCAGATTTTAAACATCTACTCTTCAAGTTGCGCAGGTGTTGTAAGAAAGACAGTTTTTGATCAAATATAACACCTAAAAACTTAACCTCCTTGACCATTGGGATTTTAACACCATTTATGTGAACTTCAGGATCCAGGTGCAAACCACGCCTTCGGCAAAAGTGGATGCACGAGGTCTTCTCTGTGTTAAAAGTAAAACCATTGGTCTTGTACCAATTGTCTATACAATTTAAGGAGGTTTGCAGTTGTTTCTCGATGAAACTCATGTTACTAGACTGGCAGGAGATCTGAAAGTCATCCACATACAGAGGTGTTTCATAGTGGGAGGAAGACACTTAGCAATGCTGTTAATTTTAATTAGGAACAGAGTCCCACTCAAAATACAACCTTGAGGAACACCTTCTTGTGTGAAGAACCTAGATAAAGTGTTGTTCATACTGACTTGGAATCTTCGATTCTGCAGGAAGTTTTTTTTTTTTTATAAAAATTGACAGATTACAGCGCAAACCGAGTTCATGCAAATCACCGAGTATCCCATATCGCCAACAGCAATCATAGGCCTTCTCTATGTCAAAAAACACAGACACTAAGTGCTGTCATCTAACAAACGCTTCGCGTATAGATGTTTCAAGGTTAACTAAATTGTCTGTGGTACTTCTGTTCCTACGAAATCCACTCTGATGTGATGAAAAGTAGTTCTTTTCCTCTAGGAGGAACATCAGGCATCTGTTTACCATTCTCTCGAAGAGTTTACACGGGCAACTTGTCAGAGAGATCGGTCTATAATTAGAAAAATTCTTGTGGTCTTTACCTGGCTTGGGGATGGGAATAATTAACTACTGTAATGGATTTTATCCGGGCCTATAGCAGTATTCCCCGATCGAGAGATCGCTGTATGTAATTCGATTCTGGTGAATGGCACATTATATTCCTCATTAGATGAGTGGAAATTTAAACATTGTTTTTCACTTTGGGCTTTATAAACCTGAAAATTCCTTGTATACATAACATTGCTGGATGAAGAGGAAAATGTTTCACCCAATGTATCAGCAATACCCTGTATATCGCTGATTACTGTGTCATTATTTTCCAGCATGGACAGAGACTGAGTAGCATATTTCCCATTAATTTTATGGATTTTATCTCATATTGCTTTTGAGCTAGTGGAAGATGTTATGCTAGAAACACACTTCCTCCAAGAATCCCTTTGGCTTTGCCTTCTTATTCTTCTGGCATTTGCCTTCGCTTTTTGAAAAGCTATCAAATTTCTAGCAGTAGGGTATCTTCTGAAAATCCCCCATGCTTTCTTTTGTTTTTTAAATGTTGCTTCGCAATTCTGATCCCACCATGATTTTGGATGCTTTGGATATCTGATTGATGTTTTTCTCATTGTTTTTTCAGCTGCGTGAATAATGCTGGGAATGACAACTTCAACTGCATCATTGATATCAGCGGTATTGACTATTTCCTCAGTGATGTCAGCCAAAGAGGAGAATGCCAGCCAAGCTGCCATTTCAAGTTTCCAGCATGGTGGACAGGCTGTTCCACTGCTTTCTCTGGCTTAATATTTTAAAAATATTGGGATGTGGTCACTGGAGAGTGGATTAGATCCAACCTCCTATGTAAACGCTGAAAACAGGTTCGGGGTTGCTAATGATAGATCAATGGCAGTGAATGTTCTTGTTGAGGCATGGAAGTATGTCACTTCTCCAGTATTAAATAAATATAGTTGCTGATTGCCTATGAATCTTTTGATGGCTCTGCCTCGACGATTGATGTCGTGACTGCCTCACATTGGATTGTGACTATTGAAATCGCCAAGTAAAAGAAATAGAGTTGGCAGCTGTTCAACCAAGGCATTCAATTCATCCTCATTGACTCTGATATCTGGTGGCAAGTTTAAAGAACAAACTGTGACAGTTATGCCAATTGAAATTCTGACTGCCACAGCTTGCAGCTCTGTTGTTATTTGTACTGGTAAGGACGGGATGCGGTTTGAAACCAGTATAGCGAAGCCTCCACTGGTGCAGGTGTGGCTATCATCATCCTTGCGGTAGAGATCGAATCCTTTTAAGGAAATCCTTTCTTCAGGTTTTAGATGTGTTTCCTGGAGTGCCACGCAGAGGTGAGGTACATGATGTCAAGTGTTTAATGTCAGAGAATTGGTTTCTACCATGCAGTTCCATTGGATTATCTCATAATCCATTATGTGTTTGAGGCAGCATTCTTCGCAAAAGTGTCCTTCTTCAATTTCATTGCATTGAGGATTTTCCTTTTGCAGGTGAAGTTGGTTGGGTCACCTCCATATTATTTTCTTTGTCAGAGATATCAGAAAACTCACTCATGGATTGAGTCTCTGATCTCTTTGATTTAGAGAGGGTTGCTTTCAATATTTGTTTGTTGAGTGGGTTCTTATTAGCTTTTTTAGAACCCACATTTCTAGTTATTACTCCTGTTTTGGATAGGGGTGATTTTGTCTCTATGTTCTTCTTTTGTTTTGTTTTTTTTTTTACTGAGTTAGCAAACTAAAACGAGTGAGAGATTCTTTTGGAGAAACAGAAATATCTGTTTAAACTCCACATGTCTTTGTGGATTTTAAAACAGCCACATATGTCTTCTGCTTATGTGGTGCATTGAAGTGACCATGCGTCAAGCCTCTGGGTAAGATAAATTGTTGAAAGTTTTCACCCACTGAATCTCTTTCTCTCTCTGCCATACAGGGCATTTCCGGGAGTAGGCAGGATGGGCATCTTTGCAGTTTACACAAGATGTAGTACTGGTACACTTAGTACTTTGGTGGCCTTCAATTCCACACTGTGCAGTTAAGCTTTTTCCTTGACAAGATGTTTGGGAATGTCCAAATCGCTGGCACTTGAATCAACGCAGCGGATTTGGAATGTATGGGCAAACCGAGCAGCGCAAATATCCTGCTGTAAGAAAAAATGGTAATGTTGGTTTTTAAATGTCACGATTAGGTGTTTTGTAGGAATTATCTTGCCATCTCGATAAATGGAGATGCGTCGGACAGCAGTAATTCCTTGATCTGAAAGACCGATCTGTATATCTGATTCATCCTCAGCCATTAGACCGATTTCAGATATCACACCACGTGATGAGCTCAAACTTGTGTGTGATGTGATGGTGACCTTTATGTCTCCTAGAGACTTCATTTCCAAAAGCTTTGCTGACTGTTGAGGGAAGGCTGCTTCTATGAATAAATCTCCTGACCTCAATTTTTGTACTTTTTTAAGATGCCCAATGGTTGATTCAAATAATTTTTGAATCAAAAAAGGAGAATGTTTAGAAAGAGGTATTTCTCCCATAGCATGAACAATAAGGTAAGATGGTTGGTTGGAGGAACTGACCTCCTTTGGTGGTGATACATTAGTACATATTCGTTTTTACTTTGATGAATCCATATTTAGAAATAACTATTCAACTCCTAGTTACCCACCCACCATGAGTGGGTGGGTAACTAGGAGCTAACTAGGCCGTCGCATGGGAGACTCCCATAGACTGTCACACCAGGGTTTTCCAGGAGCTATAGCCTAACAATGCAGTCAAGAAGAGCACGTCTTGTCTGACATGTCCGCCTGGTCTGCATCAATCAGTTGACTCCAGGCCAAGGTCAAGAATGACTCAACAACCAGCCGATTGACTCAAACGGAGTCTGATTTGAGCCTTCTCTTTATCCAAAGCAGGGCCAAAGCAGTGTGTTGGGGACGTTATGTTGCCACTCAACTACCAGGATCCCCTTTCCAGCATATGGGGCACCATGCACGGCAAACATGTGGGTGAGCATTCAGATCCCAGGGATGGTAAAGAAGAATTACTAAACCATCTCTGGGAGGTCCCCTCACCATGGACAGGAATCCACATTAAGGGGTGCGCCTACTTGGAAACATCACCGATTCCATTTTTTTTTAATTATCCTACATCAATTACTGAACTATCGAATATGAAGTTAATCTTACTTAGATAGATAAGGAGAAATTAGATGGTAATATTTCTAAAATATCTAAGTTCGCACGCTTTTCTAACTTAGGTTATTAAAATTTTTATTTTTTAAGAGACAAATTGACATTACAATCTGAAAACGTTATAAAACAAAAAAAAACATAGCTTCGTCGAAATTACGTGCTTTATTTGAACACGTGCTTTCCTTACCACGTGATCTATGATTTTACATACTCTGCATTTTCGAAAATTTTAGAATTTCATTGGTTAAAATTCTATTCCGTGTTGCGCGCACAGATAACCCGAACATGTATAATCAACCGAATAGAATCGTGACGTCAACAACAAACACGAGATCGTTACGAACGAGGAGAATCGCCACTGTGTATGAGAAAAGAATTTTGTCTCTAGCTTTGACGTCATTCGTCGGTGAAAGAAGAGATGAGAATAAGTGACCAGAATACGGCCCCAGGGTTCGAGTTCCGGTCAATGACCCTCCAGAAACCGGAAGGTATTTCCTCGTATGCATGATTTATCAATTACAGCCCATCTCTCGCTATCTGATTATCTTCATTGTGAGCCTCACCGAATTTCTAATGGACCTTTTGAAAAGGCTCTTTTGGTGTCTGTAGTAAAAAATGTAAAAACTATTTAAATCCGAAAATTGTATTTATAAGTCAAATGTGCAAAATAAATTGGTCAAATTATGAACAAACTTTACACATAAAAAGACCTTATTATACCTTCAATTTATTTCAAAGATATGCATACAATGGTTTTATTTAGAATTACAACTTTATATCTAAAACAATAATTTTTGATTTAACATGTTACATTGGTTCATTGTTACCATTAAAAATGAAATAAAAAGTAAATATAATTCGAATATTTTTTAAAAATTTTTTCATCAGAACTAAAAAGAATGTTATGTTTCGGAGTCCTGCAAGAAAAAAGTTGTTTTATTAATTATTATTATTAAAATATATTCGGTTAAATAATTAAATTTAAACGATTAATTAGTAATATTTTATAACCAACTTAAATCGTAAAAAATTACCATAAATAATAAAAATATTAATTAAAATGTACAAAATTTTATAAAAAGTAAATGGAAATTTTTAGTTTCTATGTCAAGTAATTTTATTTTTAAAATTCATATGCCAATTCGCATTTGCGATTAATTTATGAACAATGATTTGTGAATTTTTGTCATTTGTATTGTATACTAAAGACAATAGTAGATATCATGAAGAAAATAAAACAAAAGAATGGAAATGGAGTAGGACTATTGTTATGATGAACAATAACAAATAGACAAAAAGAATAATGGGATGGACTACCAGAGAATAAAAGTGAAAATTCAGGATAATGAAAAAGATAATGGAATAACCTCGAAATTAGAAAAGACAGCTGGATGGCCGAGACCGTAAAGACCTGTTCTGTGGAGCCATATTCCAGTCGGAGTTTACAACCTGTAGAATTTTTCATGAACAATTCATTCCTGATACATTGCGCCCCATCTCTCACCATTCCACCATACCATTGTGGCCTGATTGAATCCATGATGGATACCATAAAAATATCATTCTTAGTAAAAGAAAGCGAAAAAGACGGAAAAAATTATAAAATTAAAAACCTTAGTAAATAATCGATATTCTTGACAGGAGAATTATTGGGACTATATTCTGCAGTAAACAATTACAGCTGATTTAGATAATAATGTTCATCTGTTGTTAGAAGCTTTGGGAGTAAATGATTTCATTACTATTAAGAATAGAATTTTTTAAAGTGACAAATTTGAGAAAGCAGAGAAATACTGAGCGGAACAACGTATCATCTGTAATTAAAATCACTTATTTAGCTATGAAAACATTTTATCACGCTATTAGTAGACTAATGATAATTATAATTATAATTTGATAATGAAGTCAAATATTTCAACACCATACAAACATAATATGTAGAAAAAGCAAATGTTTTGAATTGTGAAGTTCCTAGGTTTTAACTATAGCTATTAACAATAAGCTACTTTTCTGTTCATTTTTCTGTATTTTATAAACAAAGTACAGAAAAATTTATAAGTACAAATTTCTTAAGAAAAAATAGTTTTTCTTAACTCTTGATTTTGTGATCTTTTTTCATGCTCCATCATAAACTGGGCCTGTTCTGCCATAAATCATAACTATATAATGTAAATCTGAAAATCAGATTTTTTGAAAACTTCTCATTATTGACTAAAATTTCATTGCTTTCGTTTATTAAATTAAGAATAAAATAAAAATAAATGAGAAAGAGTATAACGTATAAATTAACGTACACACTAAAATGATGGCAATGTATCAAATAGATTGTACAGTACAATAGTGACATTATAGCACAAACTAAATAAATAATTGTAGCTAAACTTCATATACATACATATCCTCACGGACGAGCAGCAGGTAAAAAAAGACTACAGTCTGACAAACTATCTATTCAACAATTTTCTCTGCATCTTTTAGCCTAGAAACACCTCCTTTGCTTCAGACACACTCATGCCTCTTCTCTTTCTGATTTAACACCTTACGTTCTTTCATATACTCATTCACTTGTTTCAAACAAGACTTTCTCGGCCTTCTTCTACTGCACTTACCATTCATCTTTCTTCAACAGTTCTCCTTTCACTCTCTCAACATCATGGTTAAAAAAATACAACCAATTTTCCCACCCTTTTCAACCACATTTTCTTTCACCCCACACTCCTCCAGCAATCCTTTCAAATACCTCATCTCACATGCAGTAATACGATTCTTATGACTCTTCTGCCATGCCCAAGTTTTGCTCCCATACACGAGCACAGGAACTACAAAACTCATATATACTGCCATCCGTGCTTCTTTGGATATCCTTTTATTCCTTGCAGATCTACTCATTGTAACCACCACTTGAGCTCTAGCATTCACTCTTCTGGTATTTTCATCGTCTATCTTTCCATTCCTATCTGCATATTTCAAAATACAGTAGAACCTCGATTATCCGGACTAATTGGGGATGAAGGTAGTCCGGATACGGAAAAATCCGGATAATCGAAACAAATACTTTAATTTGTCTTTTAATGATAATACAACACGTTTTCTTTTCGATGACATATCGAAAAGAAAACGTGTTGTAAAAGAAAACGGTAATATTAAAAGTAAATTCTGTATTTAAACCGTGATCAAATTTTCAAGAAACAAACGTTCGTATTGAATTATGACTACTACTGACCAACGCTAACAGACTACCTATTGTTTAAAAGGCCCTCTGGTGGCGCAAGAAGACGGATTTTATAAAATAAAAAGCAGTTGAAACTGCATTTTTATGAATAAAAATTTGACAAACTATTTATCGTTTTATGACGAGTAAAATTTTTTCGTCGCGTTCTTGGCTTTTAAGTAATGCATAAACCTTCGAGGCGCGAGGCCCTTCGGACCGCGAGGCATAGGCGGTTGCCCACGTCGTCCTTGCCTTACGCCGCCCTTGGTCATAGAAATGATGTAATTTGAATATAAATTATTTATAAATACGTATGTCAAGTCATATTTTTATTACTACGTAAAATATATTTAAGAGTTTACGACCACTGTGCTGGGTGAGACCTTGTTGAAACAAAAAAAGTTATGCATTCCATCACGTACATAAACAGTGTCGTATTTCGCCGAGTGCAAATCAGCAAATTCGTAAAATATTTATTTTGAACAATCCGGATAATCGAAAATCCGGATAATGGAGGTCCGGATAATGGAGGTTCTACTGTATATGAACTCATTCACTTGTTCAGTTGTTCACCATCCAGCTTAATCATTCAATGCGTTTGCAAATCTTAGCGTTCAAACACAATCATTTTAGTTTTACTTACATTCACTCGTAGCACATATACCACACACGCTTCTTCAAGACTAGACACAAGTGTTCGAAGCTCTTCCTTACTCTCTGCTAATAGCACACTGTTATCTGCACACAACAAATGACAGACTCGTTCGTTTCCAATTTTCATTTCGCACTCAGGTATTCTGGATATTATGCATGCATTCATAAAAACATTAAACAAACATAAGGACATAACACACCCTTGTCTTACATCCTCCTAAATTATGAATTACTCAGAAAATTACCATCTACATGTGCACATCTTTGCTGTTTTTACACATCGCTCTCGTACATCTAAGCAGTTTACCTCTCATTTCATAATCAATTAATACTTGCCAGAGTTTCTTTCATTTCACTCTGTCATAGGCTTTCTCCAGATCAGTAAACACTGCAAACACTTTTTACCCACATTCAAACATTTCTCTAAAATTATTCGAACCGAGATCTGGTCCATAAATCCCGTCCCTTTCATAAATCT